CGAGTCCCCGCTCCGGCCTCGGCAGCGCTCTCGTCGCCGCCAGGTCAAACCCTCCCGCAGCGCCAGGCTGCATCCCGGCAGGGCTGAGCCGACCCCGAGGGGCTGAGGCTCCTTCTGGGCCGTGGGGAGGTTTGGTCTCGGGTGGGTGGGTGAGGGGGGTCGCTCGGGACACTGCCTGCAGGAGGGGTAGGACTGGGGCAGCCCCACACGTGCACTTGCGGGTGTCCCCCCGGGGAGCCCTGCGCTGGCAGCGTGGTGTGCAGGGGCATCTGGCTCTCCAGCAGGTGATGGGGTGGTCCGGCTCCGGTGCGAGGGCTGTCCCACATCAAACCTGCTGGCGCCCAGCGAGATCTCGCGATGAATGAAGCTGCCAACTCTTCCCTCGCTCCCAGAACACCCAAACTATTTTAATGGAGGACTGTCGAACTCGCAAAGCAGACGGGAGGCTGACAGAGAAACACTGGGCCATGTCCTGGGCCCACAGGAAATGGCTGGTTCGCCTGGCAGGGTGGCGTACCGGAGGTGGAGACAGCCCCCGGAGCACGACAGAGCTGGGGGGCAGGAGGGGAAGGCAGTGGCACGAGGAGCAGTTGCCAGGGAAGGGTTCGGGTGCTTTCCCATCCCCGTGTCTCGTCCTTTCTGCATGGGTGCAGCAAAGCCTCCTCCTGCAGTCACGGGCTCTAGCAAGGGATGTGCTGCGGCAGCTCCATGCAGCGACCAAAAGAGGAGTAAGCCTTGGCTCTCTGTCTGCATGGGCCTGGAGGGAGGGTCCCATGCCCAGGGCGACGGGAAGGGTCCCACTGTCCCAGGACATGGCATGGTAAGTCGTCATCTGAGCAGATCCTGCGCTAGAAGGACTGGCCGTGGGTGCTGGAGCAGTACTCCAGGTAGTCAAACTCCTTGACGAAGAATGTCACGGCGCTCCACTTCTTGTACCTCCTCTTTTCAGCTGGCGTCTTGACCACAAAGTTTTTGATGCAGAGGATGGGCAGCTTCACCTGTCGGTAGATCATCTCCATTCCCCAGTCCTGTGTGGGCAAAGAGGGGACAGTCACGCAGCCCGCAGCGCAGCATCCCTGGGCTGCAGGACCACGCACACCTGGGATGGGGCCAGCTCCTCGCTGCCGGGGTACGTTCCCCTTTGGAGACAGCTGCCCGTGTCCATGTCCCATACGTGCAGCGCACACATCTCCCGGGCACGTGCTCCATTCCTCAGCCAGGAGCCGGGGCACAAGGCAGGGCCCCTCCTGCCCCTCCAGCAGGGACTGGGCTGCAGCCACGGGGGCACTCCGCGTGCCGCACTCACCTGGCTGCACTCACTGCACACGATGCGGCAGCCGGGCTCCCAGTCCTTGAAAGTCCGCGAGAACTGTAGTTTCCCAGAGGAAACTCTGTAATACAACCTGCAAGGAAGGGGCCGAAAGGCACTCTAAGGACAATGGTCCAGGGGACAGAGGGAAACAGGCGTGCTAGCGTAGTCACAGTCCTACAAAGCCCCCACAACCTCCCTGGACCGGGGTCCCCAAGAAAGAGCTGGCAGCAGGCTGCTGCCACCCCCTGCCCATCCTGGGTGGAGAGGGTGGCAGCTCCCGCGAGTGTCCCCTGGGAGCCCCCTCTGGCCCTCCCCTCCCGCC